AATGAGGAAGAGTTTTAATGTGTTTGTTATATATATAAAGATTTTATGAGATTTTATGGTTGTTGGTTGCCTTATTTAAGTTGAAAGTGGGAATGGTCAAAATTTGGCTGCCAATTTGAATAGTCCAATAATTTTATGTTTTTGTATTCAGAAAAGTAGCAGAATTAAGTGATGACAGGGATGGGTTTCGTCGAGCTTTCTTTGACATTTCAAGTATTTTGAAACGTAATCTTTGACCTCAACCTCATCAACAAGCTTCCACGAGACTCGGTTAATATTAAACTAGAAGTTTTTTTCTTTTTCGTTAAAGACTAAAAGTTTTTTAAAACTTTGTCTCGTATAAGTGGGTCAAATATATGAATAACATGTTTACATTGTGTATTTGGGTCAAATAAATAACGGTTTGTTAAGAAATCATCTAATTTTTAATTAAAAAAATACAATGATTGTAGTTTCCCTTAAAAAAAATCTATATTTTGTTCACGAACAAAGAAAATAGTATTTGGCATATCTAGTCATTTTAGAGAAATCTTTTGTCTCATTCATTTGGTGGATACATTTTTCATTAGAATTTACCTAGAAACGTCAAAATTTTTCATTAGAATTACCTAGAGGCATCAAAATCCGAGCTGAGCTGTATATTTTTTTAGTTTTATTCAAATAAACGTTGGGTCTTGGATTTGTTTTTTTTTTTGTTGGATTCGGTTCGGAATAATTTGCTTGTAGAATGCTAATCGAAATGATCATCTTCTGCAACACAAAGAATGGTATTATAGAGATCGAGTGTAACAATTTGCAGTGGAAAAAAAAAAACCATATGATTGCTAAGAAAAGTTACTATATATATAAAAATGTAGCGGTTATAGCAAGTTAAAATTATTACAATTATCATGTTAAGCAATCATAGAAAACAGAACTAACGGACAAATCTAATTGAAAACAGAGGATATTTACTCTTTTAACTAATCACGAAACACGAGTTTACTGTAAAAATCAAAATCGAACCTTTTTAAGAAATGTTAACCAAAATCATATACCAAGGTCAAAGTCAACAACTCAAGGTTCTACCTTTCTTCTGAGTTGAATCTGTTCCAAGCTTCCTGGAAATTCAAAGACATTATTATTATCAACACAATTCTAGAATTTCAATGTTCATGTTTCTAGAGATCTGTGTTGTGTGTAGAAGACTTAGTTACCTTAAGAAGATCGAAGACCTTTTCGCAGATGTATTTCTGGTGAATTTTCGCACCTCTTTGCTGTAATTTGTCTGGATGAACACAAAGTGTTGCTTTCCTGTAAGCTCTTTTCACAGCTGCTGAAGTTATGACTTCTGTTAACGGTAATGGTTGCCAACCGCTCTCCGGACCGAGGATCTGCGTCGTAAAGCAAACAAATGAATACTCGATTTCGAGAAATAAGTCGTAACTTTTGATCTCTATGTTGTTCATTAGGAAACATACGTATTGTAATGTTGAGAGTAATGCTCTTATGTTTCCTTCTTTTCCACTTGACCATCTCTTTACTTCTGCGTCTAAGGTTTCAGCGATTCTCTGTAGAAACAAAATACGATTTTAGAAACAATTCGAAGACTTTATTTGAAGTTGAAGAAGAGTTTTTCGGTTTGGTGGTTTTACAGTTCTCTCTGTTTGTTCTCTCTGAGCCACGAGATCACGCATGTTCTTCTCTGCTAAAGCTTTAGCCTGTCAAGAATTCAATATGACCGTACATTAATTAACATCAATAGTGTGGATTTCACTACGAGTATCGGGTAATTAGAAGCATTAGTTACCACACGATCAGCTGTTCTTCGATGCCTTTCTAATCTTGATGTATACCTTTGAGGCGATTCAGCATCAGTACCTTAAGAGAGACAAAAGAAAAGACAAAGAGTTGAGATAAAGGGGGATGGTAAATATGAAAACAAACAGAGAGATTTCAGATTATTTGTACCATTTTGATATCTTGAAGCACCAAAAGAGGCTGAATTTTGAAATTGCTTATCGGAAACTGATCTTTCCATTCGTTCACCAAAGAAACCTGGACTCTGAAATTGCTTCTCGGAAACTGATCTTTCCATTCGCTCTCTTGCCTCAAAAGCAGCTTTTTCAGCTGCACGTTCTCGAGCTTCAGCAGTTGCTCTCTCCACTGCTGCACGTTCTGCTCTAAGTCTTGCCTCCATTGATACCTTATCAGGCAAAGACTTCTCTCTGGCCTCGGCACATGCTTTCTCTAACCTTTCACGTGCATCAGCCAAGGCTCTCTGATCGAAAGCCATTCGA